CATTTTCTGGAAAAACCAGAAAATGCCAGGGGCTGCGTGGCGGCAGTGCGCACCCCCCTATATATATATATATTTTTTTTTATGGCGGGGCCAGGGGTGCTGACCCCGACCCCGGGACACCCGCCGGGGCTCCGGGGCCGAGGGTTGACAACCCTGATCTAAACCAAGTTTTACCCATGCAGGTGTTCCTTGGTCGCTCTGACCCGTAGACTGGACTACCTTCTTCTTCCCGGTCCCCCTAGCCTTTTTTTTGATAGGCGCCACAACTCCCCCATCTGAAGTCTCATTGGCCCCATCAAGCTCTATCTCCTCCCCAAGGTTTAAGAAGTCGTCAATTTCAGTCGTCTGACCATCATGGTTGACGAACATTAGTTGACCCTTCTTCTTCCAGTCTTGGGGAAGCTTCTTTTTCCTACCATCTCCTTTGCCCTGATGCGTGGATCCCAACTTGGCCTCTATGTCTAAGGCTTTCCTGCTGAAAGTAGCGAAGCTATGTTGGTCTATGTAGGCCTCGTCCACCAGTTTTGTCCTAACTTCTGAGAGCAGACATCTCAAATAGTCTGCGAGGAGTACTTGAGGGTCAAAACGCATACCAGGTACTACGATCAGGCGTTCTATAGTATCAGTGACCTCGCGTACATTCTTGTACCTTTTGGCACAAAGATTGTTAATCGCATCGGTGGCCTTCTGAGACCCTTGAGGGTCATGCCATCTCTTGTACACAGTCTGTACGAAGTCTTCCAATGTCTGGGCCTGAGCCCAGGCATCAGAATTTTGACCATAGCCTTGTTGCTGCACTAACCCATTTAACCAACGTGCTGCTGATCCCTCTAAAAAGGAAGCAACAACTATAACCTCCTGCTCTGGCCTTGTGAGTTTGTGCCTCACATAAGTGGGCATAGTCCTCACCCAGGTGTCCAGGTCCTCGTCCTTCTTCCTGTCGCCAGAGAACGGCTTAGGACTCAGCAAAGGAATCTTGGGCATCCACTACATCGGTTGGATCTGCCCAGGTGATTGTTGCAGTGGCTGCATGGTCATTGACACAGGTTGCTGCACGCTAACCTGGGCTTGCCCTGCTGATGAGACTGTAGTTACCACCGTTGTGGATAGTACAATAGAAGCTCTAAGGACCGGACCACTAACTACTGGTTGTCCGCCTGAGAGAGTCATGCCATACATAGGAGAGAAGGTTTGCCCTATCTGCGACGGAGTCACCGAAGGACCTGCAACCGAAGGGGGAACTACGGAGAACTGGGGCTGCCTCATGACTGGACGAGGCCCCTGAAGTGCAGCCAGAATTCGTTTCTGGCCTGCCACTAGTTCAACCAACAATTCTTGCTGAACTACCTGCGTTTCTGCCACACAAAGTAGCGAGTTCCGCAGCGACCGATCAGCAGGATTTATCGTAGCATCATCTAGTTCTTCTAGTCCTCTTAGCTCCTGCAACCCAGTGCCTAATCTGACTTTTCTCAATCTAGCCCTTTCTCTTCTCTCCTCTACTTCTCTCAGTTGCCGCCGCAACTCATCATGAAGAGCTTCCGCCTGGAGGATCTCATAATCCTCCGGAGTGAGTGGGGGCTGCTGGCTGACTTGCACGCCAACAGATTGACTTATGGAGCCTTGAGTACTCTGACTGACTCCTGACGAAGTGGCCTGTGAAGAGGCTTGTGACATCGTAGAGGAGGTAGCCATGGTCACACCTGTGCTAGCTATCCTCCTAGCCCTGGCGCTGGCCTCAGCGTCCCTTGTCCTCCGTGATGCCGCCCTCTCCCTAGCTTCTCTCCACAGCCTCCTTTCCTCTCCTGGACCTATCTCTAGCAAGCTCAAAGGTCGACCAAGAGCAGTTCTGCGAGTAACCCTAAGATCTTCCACTAACTCCTCCTCACTACTAACAACTTCACTCATGAGCTACAGCGGAGTGTGATCTACACTAGAATCCACACTGAATCTTTTTTTTTTTTTTTTTTTTTT